TAAGATTTTGCCTTGTTCGAATTGAACCAGCGTGTCAATAAGCAGCCAAATCTGATAACTTTACTTCGACTAGCGAACTTTGGGTGCCAATAGCCTGCTGTTTGACTTTATCAACCGCCTGCACCAGATACTGCAGTTTGAGTGCGCGCGCGCAGATTAGAATATTATTTATTTAAGTGCGTGCGCGCAGATCAGAATATTATTTAAGTGCGTGCGCACAGATCAGAATATTATTTATTTAAGTGCGCGTGCGCAGCTCAGAATATTATTTATAAATGCGTGCCCGCGCGCGCCCAGACCAGATATTATAAGTGCGTGCCCGCGCGCGCCCAGACCAAATATTATATTTTGAGTGTGCGCCCGTGTACGCCCAAGCTTGGTATTGCTGTTAGAGTGCGCGCCCATGCGCGCCTAAGCTTGATACTGCTGTTAGAGTGCGCGCCTGCGCGCGCCCAAGCTTGATATTGCTGTTAGAGTGCGCGCCCGTGCGCACCCAAGCTTGGTATTGCTGTTAGAGTGTGCGCCCATGCGCGCCCAAGCTTGACACTGCTGTTAGAGTGCGCGCCCATGCGCATCCAAGCTTGGCATTGCAGTCAGAGTGCGCACCCATGCGCGTCCAAGCTTGGCATTGTTGTTAGAGTATGCGCCTATGTGCGCCCAGGCTGGATATCGTTATTTGAGTGCGCGCCCATGTGCACTTGCGCTGGATATGTGTGCGCCCAGGCTGGATATTGTCATTTGAGTGCGCGCCCACGCTCGCCCGAGCCTAGGATTGCTATGATGATGGGATGATTTGCCATCACGCTCCCGTTGATTTATTTCCTCGCTGATCAGCATCACCTCATGCACGTGATCCTTTCCCTCGCACGGGGAGCATTGGCAGTTCAGTCCCTGCATAGATGACCTGGCTCAATCTAACCCCAGTACATTCATCATTTGTGACTGGTGCCTGTGCATGAGATGTTCTAGTGATCAGTTGCTGTTCAGCCGGGCCCTTCCGGCGGGCCTACTTGAGATTGTTGCTGTTCAGCCGGGCCCTTCAGGCGGGCCTACTTGAGATTGTTGCTGTTCAGCCAGGCCCTTCAGGCGGGCCTACTTGAGATTGTTGTTGTTCAGCCGGGCCCTTCAGGCGGGCCTACTCGAGATTGTTGTAGTTTTCAGCCAGGCCCCTTCAGGCGGGCCCCTTTCTTCTGAGATAGCTGCTGTTCAACCGGGCCCATTCAGGCGGGCTTTATATTGAGTTGTTGTTCAGCTGGGCCCATTCTAGCGGGCCCTATATCGAGTTGCAGTTCAGTCAGGCCACTCAGACAGGCCTCCACATTGAGTTGCTGATTGCTATCTGGCCAGGTCTTGGAGGGAGAATCTGCATTAGTGAGAGTGTGCATTCCATCCAAGCTGGCCCGACGTCGTGAGACTACCCCTAAGTGGGGTAGATTGATTGAGAGGTTCTGCTACAAACATGTGGGACATCAGAGTTTCACTATCAGGGCTAATGAGTCCTCGACTTCGAGACACACGCTCGTGATCACCTACTCGGTGAAGAGGGCAGAGACGGGGGTGAAGGGCACCACATACGACAGGATTGCTGATTACATATTTCGTAGGGAGAGCTATTGGAGGGACAACTGGCTACATGTGGTGTTCCCTCGCGTACCTTCAGCACCTGGTGGCGTGCTCTTCGATTTTGATGGGTGCAACCCCATGCCCCTTAGTGAGACTCGCAGCAAGGACAAGAGGCGGAAGGACGACCGGATTAGGAAAGAGATAGCCAGATCCGGGGTCCCAATCACTACATGCGTTCAGATATCAGAGACAGATGAGTCGGACTTGGAGCCCTGCTCTGTGAGGGACATTGATCTGGGCGACTATTTCGACTGGGACACTCACAGAGGCTGAGTTTGTGGACATTGACAGGAGCGCTGAAGACCGGTGAGCGACGACGACGGAGGGCGACTTTGAGGAGGATTGCGTATATTCTTGCACGGTATCTTCTTGAGGGTGATTGACTCCTACATGGCAGACGACCCTCGGTCTGAGACAGTTATTGGTCCCCCAAGAGGGGAGCGTCCGGTCCCATATCTCGGAGATGGCTATAGTCATTTGGTCGGAACAGACTTTGCTATGTAGGCTTATCGAAAGCCCCTTTACGGAGACCGTTTCCTCGAGGTATCCTACATCTACTCTGGTGGGAGAGGACGGATTGGGATATTGATTGGAGCTACAGGCAACATTATCCTTGCGGAGGAGCTTTATCTCAGGAGTGTTGCAGACGAGGAGGGGGCGCGACACCGGTCCCGCTGGGCACCTATAGGTCCCACGTTGGCCGTGACCGGGTTCCAACCAAGAAAGGTCCCACTTTGACCTACTCTCTGCCTCTACCGTACTGAAAAACAAATTTTAACTTCAGAAAGAACCTACTAACTAACGCCGTTCAGTAATGAAAAAAACAAGCACTGTAGAAAAATATGGCGCTCAATTCAAGATACATCCATCCACTCGTCAGGTGAGAAAGCAGTTTGCACGCTCATGCACACAATCAAGACCATAGAGGAGTACGCAAAGAAACCCAGAAATAACCCCAACAGGACAAATAATACCATGCACACACTCATGGGCATCGCGTAGGTGCACAGCACTTACCTGAGTGGCACTCATGGGCATCCCGTAGGTGCACAACACTTACCTGAGTGGCCTGAGCTTCGAGATGAAGTATAACTCACCCCCCTCGCATATGGTCCTCCTTTTCCCTTTAACGCTACCCCTGCACTAGTGTCCTATCTATAGGAGGGTCTGACTCCAACACCAAAGTACAATGCCGGATCCCCCGCCGATGTTGAAGAACGAAGTAGCAACTTGCAGTCCTTTGATTCAGAATGCCATTTCCCTCGAGCTCGCCTACTCGAGGGAAGCCCTACAGTCGCTAAGTGGCTCCCTTAAGTCCAGATTCCAGGTGCGAGCTCCTCTCACTGTCGCCTCTCACAAATTGTCGCACGAAGTTTCGTGTGTCTCGCCACCCAAATCTCACGCTCAAACAACCTGGCCGGGTCCAATGCCGACCCTACATGATCTAGCCAGGTTGGGGCAGGTTCCCCATTCCACGCTGCCACACTTTCCACTCACAGCCCACCCCCACCCTAGACTAAGTGGTTTCCCTAAACCGCTCAGTTCGGGTTGAGGCAGCAAAGTCGCCAGCAAGTAGAATCTGCTCTGATACCAATGTTACGGTCCTGGCCAATTTTGCAGTGCAAATTCACAAGAAAGTTCAATGTTGTCCAATTGCAAAAGAAATGAATGAACTTGAGAGGAGAGAGACGTAAAGAAGAAGAAAAAGAAGAAGAAGAAAGAAAACAGAAGATCATGTACACCAGCAAAAGACCAATGATAAATCCCCCTTCTTCGCCAACCAACTCCTGCTGCTTATCTCCTCCTCTCTCGTTCAAACAATAAATAATAATAATAATGATGAATGGCTGAACCAGAATCAATGTCCGAATCCCTTTTCTACTACCAGCACAACAAGAGGTCCACCACGCCATCCTGTCTCTTCTTCATTTAGGCCCAGGCTATGGTGGACTACTAAGGGCCTTGCCCTGACGTGCAAAAGACAATGCAAAGCAGCTATGGCCTCTCTGTCTCTCAGGCCGCTTTGTCTGACTCTGCCTCGAAGCTTCTTGATGCAGCTCTACCCCAACTGGTGCCTTCCAGATGCAGCGCCTACCAAGGTGATGAAGATGGCGTCCACCATAGCCAGGTAAGTACTCCTGGCGCTCTCCTCTCCTAGTCCCCTTCTTCCTCATCCTCTGACCCGAGCTCCTCCACCATAGTCTAGGTGGAGAGCTGGGTGTTCCTCTCCCCCACAACGCTGCACACCAGCGCTCCTTCAGGCGCTCCAGCAGCTTGACACCCAAACTTGCATGCAGCAAATGAGGAGCAGCAGCGGCCAACCTGCATCTTGGGCGGTGACTTCTAGGCCGCGGGGCGACCAAGCAACCAGCACCTCCTCCCTTTCGGAGGGAAACATCATTGCAGGCTCTGATATCGTCCGCGCAGGCCCTAGACTCAGACTACGTGGACTGGTACCCGCCTAGGCCTAGCCTACAGCTACTGGGCCTCTGAAAATGCTAACTTTTTGTCTTCTTCTGCTCGGCCTACTGCTACTCAAGTGCCTATGGGCCTA